CAGCACAACCTCATTCGCGCTTTCAGCGCGCGGTTTTTTAATTAAGCAAGAAAGGCAAAATTTTAGCGATGAATATCTCAAAGCTCGTTGTTTGTTCGCGAACTTTCTAAATTATGTTGGCCTTTAATAATGGCTCCTTTAAAGCTGCAATTGCAACATGGCCCATTAAACCGTTCATTAAAAAGTTAATTACTATATTCGGCTGAGTAATCAAAATATTGCAACGGTTTTTCACCCCTGTTGGGTTTGCCGAGATCTACGTATGTACAGTGCAGACGACATACACGTATCTACTACCTCCTTTTAATGAATTCTGTAAAGCTCGACCAGAGCGACACGCTTGATCGCGCACGTCGCCAATACTCTATTTCACCTTGTGTTGTACCGCAGGAAAGGCTACAAGCGCGAGCTCCTTGCTCTAGGGCACATCTCGGCGGCACAAGCTCTCGTGCACCAAGGGCAGCTTCTAGCCCTCGCTGCGGTACAACATAAGGTGAAAACACCGACACGTGCACTGCTCAAAGTGACAAAAAAAAAAAAAAAAAAAAGGCGGACTGCGCAATTGTTTTTGGATAACTCGACTACAGCGCCGCCACGAACTGTCAATACACGCTTCCTCACGAGCTCCCGTTGCCGAGCCGCTCCGGTCCCAACACTACCCAAGTATTCTAGTACACTGTAGTAGTCCATGCCGCGTGAGTCCCGCAATCCGGAGACGGCCATTTTACCCAGTGTACGTGGCGCTGCTGGCACTGCTCCGGAACTTCGCTGTTTCTAGCGGCTTCGTTTGCTCGTTTGATAAAATTAGTGATAAAAACGTCAATTCAACCGAAATGTTCTGCACGTTTAGAATAGAAGACAAAATTACAGGCGGCCTTCGCTGCCGCTGAAGCTCGATCAACTCAACAGCTTTTTATTAAACAACGTGGGTGACCTGCTCGAAAAACGAAACCGAAAGAAGATGAGTCGGGAGGGCGAAAGCTTTCTCCCGTGTACTCGGAGAAGGAGAAAAACGTTTCGTTCCTCCCCTTTTCTCGTGTCCGCTTGGGGACGCGTCAGTAGATGGGAGGAAGACGCGCCGTTGCTACTTTTTTCCTCCATTTCTTTTTAGAATGCAGTGCCATTTCGCAGTAGCTGTATGAATACACTTTCATGTTTTGACTCGCCAATAAAGGGCGTCGCTGTTATCATATCTAGCCCAGAGCCGTGTATTAGGAGGGTTTGGCCAATGGGCGGAGCAAAGGCCGCCGCCAACGCCGAATGCTCCCACCGCGGCTAGAGCTTAAACTAAGGGTGCGACACAGCGTGGACCAATCAGCAGACCGCGACGTCACGATATTGCGAATGACATTTAAAGCGTGAAGTAGAAGCGTTCAATCTGGGCCTCTCGGTGACAGTTTGCGTTGGGCCGGCTGGCTAGGAAAGCGTCTCAGCTGAGACTGGCTGAAAGAAAACCGTGCAAAGGTTTGGGGCGCGCAAGCGAATTGAGAAGCGGACTCCCGCTTGGCTCGTGCGCTGGCTTTGGCAGTGCTTTCTTTCCCCACCTCAGCTGAGACGCTGTTTCTATACTCTGCGATAACTTTTCTCGGCAGTGCAGGGGAAGGCAGAGGTAGGCGCTCCCTCTCTCATTTTGAACGCTGATAGAGGCTGTATCGGCTGTATAAAGCTGTGCGCGGGCTCTCCTCCTCTCCACGGAAATGTCAAGAAAAGTTGTCGCGTTGGGAGCGCATGTTCGTTATTCTACCCTTGAATATGGGCGTGACGAAAACATCACATGCGCCAAGTTTTCAGTCACTAAGAGTTACACCATTTTACTCCAGCGACGCTGAAAAAGCTTAATTTTTTCGAGTCGCGTTTTTAGAGCTCATGATCAGTGCTAGTGGATGTTTCGCGGCCTGTGGTTGGCTCCGAGATGCTCGCCTATTCAAACCGATGCATGGCCAAACTTTCTCAATACACGGCTCTGATCCAGCTTAGTCACGGTGGACGCGACCAGTCCGGGTTTTAAGGGTGAGTTTAGCAACTGAGTGTTTTGTAACTTCGTCGAGAGCTAATGAGGTGAAAGTGTACTACCCAAAAGGAGGGCGCCACAGTATGTTCGAAACTTCGACGCTGGGGGCCCATTAGGTGACCTCCGGCGCTCCTTATTTGTGGACCGTTAAACCACATCGTCACTTTCTGGCAGTTTCTCACTCCAAACGAAATATTCCGCACGGGTGTCGGTAAGCGCCGTTGAAGTTTGGCCGTCGATGACGACGTGTTGGTTGTTAGACCCCCTTGCAAATGCGTCCTCGTTAGAACGGGAGCTCTCCGGCGTTCCTGGAGGGTTTTTACTTTGTGTGCTTTCGGCAACGCCACCCCCAGGCGTTGTTTTCCCAACAAGACAATAAAAACAGACTACCTTGGTGATACCAGCGTAAGGGAGTTAATACACGTTGAGGTGAAACGGGTTGGGAGCCTCAGGGGAGAGTTGGCACGAGGAACTAAGTTCGTAAAAGATACTTTTCAGAGTCCCGCGGTTGCTCCCCAAATCGTTGTCGATGGTCGTTCTGCGCGAACTCTTGCAGACCTATTCGTCGGTACAAGCAAGTCCGCTGGACATGCATCACAGCAGTAAGAGCAGAGTGGTTTTCGGTCAGCCGTTCACCATATGTCCGTCTTTCTCGGTGTACATTGTTCAACGCTGACGTAATCTGGCTCTTCCTGAGGTCGGGAATACTGTGGCGTTAGGGTATTCCGTTGAGTTGGCGTCGGCTACTAAAGAGCAGTTTATGACAGTCGTCGTGTGTTTGCGTCGTAGGTCACCCTCAATTGGACAGTTGCCGCTGCGCCCGCAGAAGTCTCAGGTTGAAATGCCTGTTGAACTTCTTTCCGAACAACCTAGGCAATTGAAATGCAAGCAGGGAGACTGGCGGCAGGGTTCATTCCTCCTGTTCAAGGTCGCGGATGATGTCACGAAAGTCTGGGAGGCTGGCGTCGAAGTTGCAGCTGGACGACTCAGTGTATGGAGACGCCAGGATGTCGTTGATCCTGATTGGCTGAAGGCTGCTGTGCACTTTAGGTTTTGAAAGTCGCGCTGACGAACTCTTCAACTGATGACTGAGAGTAGCGAATAAGGTCGCCTAAGGTGCTGTACCTCACGTCCCGCACAAGAATTCTCAGCTTCTCTTCTGTAGCCTCAGTGTCAGTGCGGGTGTTTAGGCGCATCACATGGTTCACGAAGGCGGTTACGCTCTCGTTGGGACCTCGTGCCCTGGCCCAAAGCAGATCAGCTCTCTTTCGTCGATGCTGGCTGACAAGCGTGCGCTTCAGCTTGGTCTTGCAGACTTTACACGACGTGAAGGAGCATTTGTGGTTCCCAAAGCAGTGCCTTGCAATTCCTTTCAGCCAGAAGTACAGGTTCGGCTGTAGCGGGTCATCTGTGCACCCAGTTTGGCGGGCGACGCTGTCATATTGGTTAATGCAGTGCTCGACGCGTTCGTACACCTCGGCCAGTTATGGCGAGAGAGTGCGAGGTTCGACGAGCATGTAAATAGCGATAGAGAGCGGCCAAGGTCTGCTGCGATGGTTTCATCATCGTTCATTTTACAGTCCGCATCGGTCTTGTGGCAGGTGACCAAATTCCGGTGGTTCTCTTTTTTTGCGGTGACTAGCTCAGTGTTTAGGTTCTTCTTAATCTATTAGCATGGTTCGCTCTCCTTGTGGGACTCGCTGGTCTTGTGGGCTTTCTGCCGGCATCGTTATAGGATATGATTTAGTGCTCCTTGGGTGTGTACGAACAAAGGACTTGGGATAAAGTACCCCGCAACTCCACGAGGATGTCGAGGATGACTAGTAAAGATAGGATAAAATTACGAAGCAGCCGCATGATGACACAATGAAAGCACACGCATGGAGACACGATGAAAGTAGGCAGCAGAACGTGTTCGACGAGTGCAGAGGAGACGGAGGCAGCCTTATTCTCCACTGCATTCGCCGTACGCGTTACAGCCCATTGGAACGCGTTCGGCGAGTGTAGTTTAGACACAGGACGTGTTGCAAATCTCCATGTAATGGATCCTAGTTATTGCGGCGAATCATACTAAGTGGCAAGACAGAGCTACGCTAGACGCGGGAAGGTTTTCGAACGCCAAGGTACAGAACCTTTACTCTAGAGTCAGATCGAGTACATCTTGTAACACGGTCACCTAGCTCGGTCTACCCACTAATCATTAAAAAAGCTCGGCGTTCTAACGTCCCCGGGCGCTCCCGTCTCCCGTTCTTCCTCACTTTCTCGGTGCATAACACTCACTAGGTGAGCACACCTAAGAATAGGTCGTCTGCTTTATGACGAGTTCTGATTGACTTTGATTGGAAGGATAGTGGGTAAACCTCAATGCTAGATGTTTGAGATCAAAATATTTTTTTAATCAGACTATAAGAGCTAGGCGTTCTGATATCATAGCAACCGCAGTGCTAGAAGCAGACAAACTCGCGCTTTCCATACTTTGTTTTCGCCATAAGCGAGAACGAAGCCGAAGAACAGAAGACGTGCAATCACGGACGCACGTAGTAAAAGCGAGGAGCCATAATGTACGAGTTTAGCTGAAGATAGGAGACGCAACACAATATGACAGATGCCAAGATGTTGAAACTTTAGCTTAATTTGATTAGCAACACCAGCTTGTACCGTCGGCTGCGTTCTCACCAAAGGTGAAACACAGTATAGTGCACGTCTCCTCAGCCACGATGGTGCCAATATGCTGATATCCAATCGGACCGTCTTGAGGCTCCTCAATTTGCACCATGACGGCGCAATGCACATCCCTCATGTTATTTAGGTTCTTAATATAGAGACAGTTTCATTATTCAACTAAATTATAGTACACTATTTGACTTCATAACATTAGGTGTGACGGCCGCACCAGCTCAGTTCTAATAGAACCGTCTGTATTCTTCTGAACTTTAGTTATAAAACTCCTCACACAAGGAAAAAAAAATAAAAGTTATGTTGTACTTACATTGGAAAGGCATTGTTGGTGACCAGTCCAGTTCCCGATGTAGGAAAAGTTGTAGCTTTTATTTCCGTCTGACCAACTTGTATTTGTCAGGCATACAAGGTCCGACCCGTTGGCAATAGTTGAAACGTTGAACCTTGTAATACTTCCACATTTGTTTGATACTTCAAAACTGCTAAGCGCTCCAAACCTGGCAAATAACAGACACGACTCAACAAAATATTTTTTTTGTCGTCAAGCTTCGCAATTTGGACGAAGAGCAACAGGTAAATATTTCTTATTCTAGATATAGTCCTCAAACTGCCACACATTATATTTTATTCTAATTGCTCATTTTTGAAATGAGCTTTTGATTTTAAATAGTTAGTGAAATTGCAAAATTACGACAAAAATAAAAAAATATATATTCCACTTTGTTTTTCTTTATTACGCATTTCTTGGTATCCACGGAATTTCGCGGTATATATTTGCGCAAACTTGTGAAACACCTTGCAGGGCTATGAAAATTGAGATGCGCATAACCCAGCATAACGTCGTTATTTATAAAATTGAGGTAATTCCAAGCGCATGGGATAAGTGCGTTAAATGTGGAATATTTTGAAAACAATTTATTCGATATAATTGTTGGTTTATTTTACTGCCCTGTAGTCCAATGCGGGGCATAGATACTGCAATAAAAATATGTTATACAATTCGAGGTACATGTATTTTTATTCCTAAATTTTTATACTTAGAAACATTTGCTGTTTACGTAACAAGATATCCCTTAGATACGTCTGCAGAAATATCGAAGAAGGTTTCTGTAATAATATTAATAATAATAAATATATTCCAGCATTTGGTTTCATCATTATATAAGAGTCAGGTCTGTCGAAGCCAGTGATGGCTTGTGTGACACGACCCAGCAATGATGATAGCCAATATTAGTGGTAAACGGGCGTTCTTGGCGTTGCTAATAGCAGTCGGTGTACAATTTCAGAACACTTAACGAAGGGCACAAATAAGACAAACATATATGATTGCTACAGCTACACTATACCATCCTTGAAGACAAAGTAAACTTATATATTTAAACACATATATGAGACAGTGTACACTTTCAAAAAGTAAAATAAAAATGTAAATGTTCGGATAAAAAGCCGAAAGCAATACCGATATGTGTATACAGGCATATATCACACAATGATGCACCGAGACCTATATATATACCCATATTTTGGTCTACGCATTCGTACACGGATATACAAATCTACAAGTAAGTACTTCATAGATAAAGACACAAGCAAATGCATATGTCGATTCAGCACTAAATACAGAAAGACCCAAAAAGAGTTTGAAATGTTATTTGTAAAATCAAATGCAAACATTTTTTCTAGCATTTTTCTTTTATATGTTTTTTTTTTTTAAAGATCGTGGTGAATCGAGGTGATTAAGAAAGTCTGGTAATTTGTTAGAGATGTCAGGGACGTAAAATGTTCGCACAGTGGCCCATGTTTTTAATAATATTAAGCGAACATCGACCACCGGGCCGTCAAGCGCCGTGCCGCGGAGGGGTGCGGCAATACGGGAGAGATTACGCGCGTGCGCACGAAGCAGTTTCAAGTGCGAGCGCCGTCTGCTAGGCTATTCCGTTGACCGGACACAGCCCCTGCTCCCTCGCAAAAGATTCAATTTCTTTTTCTCTCTCTCTCTGCTTCTCTTATCTGTTGGTAGAGCAAATGTCTAAAAAGAGAGCGCTGGCGTGATGCACGTCGTGCGCAGCATAAACAGAGGCGCAATGACGCGCGGTTTATGCTGCGCCTGAGAAGTATCATGAACCACGCAAGCAAGCGCTGTTCAGGTCGTTGCTTAAAGGCGGTTAGCTCTGCCAGCAGATAAAGAGCAGGGGTTTTGTGTGGTCGACGGTATAGCTTAGCAGACGACCCTTGCACCAAAAAGAGCTTTATGCGCACGCACCAAATTTATTCCCTATCGCCGCACCGCTCCACGGCAAGGCGCTTTCTGGCCCGGCGGTCGACTCTCGCTTGATAATATTAAAAGATTGGGCCACTGTACATTCTTTCCACAGTTGGTATATATTCGAGGAATTATAAATCGTTCACTATTTCTTGTAAAGTGTTTAAAAAAGTGAGGTGTTTAAAATGGACTCTTCCAACGATGTTTCTGGATGACACGTCAATGAAAACGAGGCAGAAAACGCTGTAGGCCCACTGACGAGGACACGTCACCACCTTGTATTAGCGAATGGTCTACCGGATCAAAAGCCTTAGGAAGGTCAAAATATACAACGTCTATCTGTCCACGTTGACACACAGTAGGCGAAACAAAATTAAAAAAAAAGACACGAGACTTGTCTCAACAGACCTTCTACGCATAAAGCCGTTTTGTGAAGGGATTATCTTACGCTTGAAAACGGGTTGAAATGCGTTCAAATAAAACCATATCATTGATCTTAGCAAAGCGAGGTAGCAACGACACAGGTCTGTAATTTTTTACTTCATCCGCTCTGCCATTCTTATCTACTGACACTGTAATACAGGGTGTTTTTGTTTAGCTGCGCCAAATTTTCAAGAGAAGGAAACGTGAGATAGAGTAATTTAAGCCCTGGGGAAGTGTCAATGGCCATGGTGACCACTAGAAAAAAGGTGAAATTAGGTAATCAGTTAGCTAATTAACTAAAATGTTTTAACTAAGTTCTTAATTTTTTACTTGAAAGCACATAATGTATTAAGAAAATTGAAGCTCGACATCAATATAATCTGGCCCTGCCATCAAAGTTTGGTTAAAAAATATGTAGTAGGTGTTACGATGTCAGGAAATGTAACTTTGGTACACGGCGTGAAACTGAAACTAAACGAGAAAGAGCGCCGGTAACGTAATTGGTCCGCCCTTCCGGCCCCCGTGGATCGTCGTTATTGCAGCCAGCTTCGCCTATGCAAGTGTAGCCGGCCGCGATAATAACAAATCGCATACTTAATAGGGCGGAGCGAAAACTTCACCGGCGCTTTTCCTTGCTTAGTTTCGGTTTGACGTCGTGCACCAAGGTGAAATTTCTTCACCCCGTAGCACATACTACAAATTTTTAATCAAACTTTGATGTCAGGGCTAGACCATATTGAGGTCGAGCTTCAATTCTCCAAATACATTATGTACTCTCAGGAGAAAAATTAAAAAGTTAGTTAAAATATTTTAGTTAATTAGCTACCTAATTACCTAATTTCACCTTTTTTCTAGTAGCCGCCATGGCCATTAACATTTCCCAGGGCTTCAATTACTCTATCTCACGTTCCCTTTTCTTGAAAATTTGGTGCATCTAAAAAAAAACACCCTCTAGATTTCTTCCACAGGGAAGGACATGTAAGGCTCTGTAACGACAAGTTAAAAAAATGCGTTAAGACAGGCGCAAAAACAAAGGAGCATCCTTTAACAATGAAGCTTAGAATGCCGTCAAATGCAACTGATAACTTTGGCTTCAGTTTTCTGATAGCAAGTTCAATACCAGTAATTTCATAAGACAAAATTGTCATGTGATCACTGGCATTATCACTTGCGCCTTGCACAGGCAGTCCAGTTTGGCCGCAAGAATAAACCGAAGAAAAATAACTCGCCAATCCATTTGATACATCTTCGGACTCATACAGCATATTACAAAACGAGTCACCTATGTTTATTGTTGACGAAGGTATACCTGTGCGATCCTCTACATATCGCCAGAAAAACATTGGGTCACGATTTAAACTACGATCTACTGGCTCACGATGTGATATTTCACGCGCTTCAGCAATGTATTAGATAGCGCACGCGACTCAGAAAATTTTCGATACTAAAACGTGGAATTTTCGAACTTATATTTCTGATGACAATGCAATTTTTTTACTTAGAAGGGATCTAAGCTCGTTGGAGTACCAGAGCGGATAACGACTTGTGTAAGGACGCGTTTTGGGCACGAAACTTTGAAGTGCATATACGGTATAGTTTGCAAACACTTCAACGGCACGATTTCCATCGATCCTACTATATATGAAAGCCCAATCTGCATTATCTTAATGTTCATAAAGGCCAAAGTAATCGCCTCTTGAGGAACCAAGCGACTCACGGTTTTTGTGCTTTACTTTCTCCACAGAAATCATAAAGGAAACGACCGACCCGTCACCTTATAGTGTTAGGAAGGTATCTAAATAAATGAAATGAATTGAAGTGAAATTGAATTATTATTATATTATTATTATTATTATTATTATTATTATTATTAAATTAAAAATAAAAATAAACTAAAAGCATCGCAGTCCCCTCCGAGAAACGAACCAAGCAACATCGAAAACGGCGAGCCCGCGCTGTAAGCTGTTCCCGCACTCTTCTTCAGGGGCCACAAGAAACGCATCGAACTACGTCAAAGTGTGCTCCGCCACCTCACACTCCTGCACCCTGCTCTCTACCGTGTTTGCCGGGAACGCGCCAGGCGACATCAAGGAATTGTTCGACGGTGAGCTGGGATCGGTCGCATCACCTAACATGAAACATTTGGTGAGTGCTGCTGTCTTCGCCTATTCACTCCACTGGTGCTGTGATCTGTGACCTGGTCCGCGGGCCCGAGGCTGCGGTCTACCTGGCCAAGCGCCAGGACACATTTTGTCTTCTAATCGTCCTCCGGTTCACTTGTTGATTTATGGTTTGATTCACAGCTAGTTCACGATGAGTAGGCGGAAAACGTGCTCTCTGAATTATTGTTGCTCCGTGAGCTCAGAGAGATAGAAGCAAACGTGGAATCTTTGCCAGCGTTGCATGCAAAAGTTGACCCTCTGCTCTTTTCGAAAGAGCAGTTCACGAAGCTCTCTAGGTCGGTTCAGGTGCTTAATGTTGCGGTGAAGAGTGTCCAAAAGCGGGACACTACAGGTAAGGCTGAGATGAGCAGCTCAAAAGCAACTGTTCAGGCGCAGGCGAACCAGCTGCAGCAATTGCGAGATTAGCAAAATGACGTGGAACACAGTAGAAATGCAAACCTGGAACTTCGAGGCTTGCCCTACAAACAAAATGAGAACTTGAAGGAGAGGCTAACTCAGCTTGCCTCGCGGCTTGAATTGCCACATTTTTCGAACATCGACGTTGCGGCAGTTCATTGCCTTCCAGCAAATCAGAAGCAATTTTGACAGTCCTGGTGCGTTTTTCATCAGTCGCAGCAAAAAGAGAGCT